CAATGGAACCTTTCTATATTGCCTTCGGAGACAATATTCATCTAACATTGATACCATAATATTGTTCTCAAGTATTCTATCCACTTCGTTAGGGGGAAATAGATTAAATTGAAGCATGTTCCGTGAACTATTCGTGAATTTCTAACCAATCAGCGTTAGACGATACTTGGAAAATACTCTACAAAACTATAAATATACTAACGTTTTTCTTATTATGCTCCTTACTTCCACCTGCCCTTGTCATTTGGAATATAATTTCCTTCCCGTTCAACCGCGTTCTGATTCCAGAACTTGTCGAGTGCATTGGTGTCCAAGGATATTAAGCAACAGGAATAGCCGGGTCGTAATAAAGGAATTATAACAGTATTATTAAATTAATGTAATTTACTTCGCGTTATCTACTCGTCATCTACCGCATCATTTCTCTGAAGTTCGCTCGTGACACCGATCGATTAATGCTGAATGATATTGGGGGCTGAATTTTACTGCTGGAGCATGCTGCTCGGAACTAACAAAATCGGTAAATGTCCAGTTTCTTCTGCCATTTACAGGATACAAATTGCGTCTTCCCTATCCAGCCGTATCTACACATGATTCCGTTGGAAACAATGCTCACCAGAATCACCAATTCCTATAATACGATCGCAATCAAACACGAAATCGGTATAGCCATGAACCGAAGGCATAGATCAAGGACATCATCGACCGCTGTACAAAACCTAGATTTTGTTAAAAGCAGGGAGCATATGGTGGCTGTTAGAAAAGTGTATCAACTGCATGGCTCCCAAAACGCGGAAAATTAAAGCTAAAGGTATCAGACAATGCATAAAATGGGTGCAACTTTTACATCAGTGTGGCGATCGGAATGTGGCTAAATGTCCACCTCAATTTAAAGCAACTTTGAATACAGTAAGTGTTACGGAGAAATCTCATTATCGTTCCAGCAGTCATCTCAAATTCAAGTTAGACGTAACAAGCGTTGAAATGTGAAACGTGCCACTATAATATCATCAACGAAAGAGCATGATGGTGTGTGGAGTGCTCGAACTGTAATGTAGTAGTCTAGACTAAACTCTCGGGCATTATGTGTTAAAATGACGTAAGCTATCACGTACCACAAACCTTCATACTACTGCGTGTCACAGCATTTTCGTTCATTATACCTTCGTAACTATGGGTTTTCATCTTCTTGTTGATAGAAGAAATCAGGTAAGTGATCGAATAAGACTTTATTTAGATCATGGAACTTAAGAGTTGGAGCTCGAAGTTGCCTTTTTCAAGCACAAGGTTTTCAACAACCAACATAAAGTTAGGAGAAATGTAATGCAATACAAAATGATAATTAAACGAATACTTGAGTCATAATAGTTTGACATTACTAATGTGTTAACGGCCAACTCCTTAACAATCAATCTGAGTTGTTACAATACTTCACAACAGTTGATTCTCCGAGCCTGACGACTATAAATTCCAGAAGCTGAGAGAATCTAACTAAAGCTCTTCAAGCCCGATTCCTAGTGAAGACTGTCTTTTTCGGCTTCATAGGCTGTAAATGAGAACTAGATTGGCATTCGACGGTGAAGAATCCAAATGTTTCATACCCTAATATCCGTCTACCTCGATTAACAAAACACGGTATACGACATATCGAGGGGCGGAAATTGTAATTTCTTTAGTAATTGTACATTTAGGTAACTCCAAGGTGTGTGATATTTTTTGAAAAACTTCGAACTTAGACTGATTGCTCACAAATTATCTGATTCTAATCAAAATTTATCGTACTTAAGGATCGACAGGCATCACTGATTAGGGAACGGTCATTTCCGAACGATCACAAATGAGATATATCCAGAACCAAACGATAAATTGGAAGCTTATTTTTTGAACCTCACACCCATAACTGTGGCAGACACTTGTAGCGGTATCAATTTCTAACCATACGACCTTGTAAGCTGAGCATAAGTTAACTGAAAAAATTGACATTCAACATTTAACATATAGAGCAGTTCATTCGGTGTAACGTATCCTTCTTAATATGTAATATATTATTCTATCTGCAACTTAAATGTGTTTTTCGGAAGTGCTGGGCGTCCTATTGCTGAACTTCTCGATATGACGGGTCAGTATAGACACTGACATGACTCCCATTTAAGATCCTATAAGTTAGGTGGTCACTTGATGTCATATTTGCAATTTTGGGACCAAGTGTATTATTGTAGAGGCAAGTATGGATTTACTGGTAATAAACTAGGCCATTAATCAACAGACTAACAGTAAGCGACCATAAGAAGATAGGGAAGTATATATATCCGGAAATATGTCCTTCAAGCTACCAGGCTGATTAAAGAGAAACTCAGAGCGCTAATTACAGGCAGAATGGAAAGCTTGGAAAAATTTGTAGGTTACTATACAGTATTCTGACCAAAGCTCTTACTTGAAGTCAGAAAAATAGGCCCAGTACAAAGAGCGAAGTGTCATGACATACTTCTTGATCAAAGCATCAGCTTAAATGCAAAATGACCCGTAATGTCTGTACAGGTTTATGTCTGAGCGCAAACCCAGAAGCCAGTGTGGCTGTGACCCTATAATACTTATTGGTGAATGCGTTGACTACCTGAAAATGGTAGAATTGTTCACAGGTCATTTTGAAACTCAGATAAAGTAAGAATTTGCAAAGGTGTAGCACCTTTTTGCTCTAGAATCAGCTGACGTTCTGCAGAACATCTGCCTAACCCATGGGTTAGTTCTGAAGAAATTAAAATCCCTAAGACCATGAAAACTGCGAAGATTCGATTACAGCAATAATAATGATTGGAGACCATCGGTGAACGGTTCTTTGGTATTACCATGCACTCACTCCAGTTTACATAGCCTCTAAAACGATAAAAACAAGATACCCTCTTGTCAATGTTCATGAAAGGAAATATAAAATTCATTTAGTTATAGTTCGATTGTATTACCCTCAACACTGTCTAAATCACTAAAATGGTAAGCCAATGACTGAATGATGGGATATATGGACAAGCACATTATTATTCATGAAGCCTAACACAAATACGGAAATGGCAGTTTTCGAGTGTCTCGTTTTCGCTTGTCACGAGATGCCTGGACAATTTGACGTGAACAAGAGGTACCAATCTATGTTATTTTCCCGGAATTAGCAGTAACGTTTGACACGGAACAGCGTATAATTATATAGAGACGGTAGCTGACTCACTTGGCACCGAAAGTATCCAAGGAAGTGAATGTTCATCACTAAAGTAAATACTGCTGAACATTAACTCGTTGTGTAATATTATCAGCTTTTGTACCGATGAAACGCAGATATCTTATGCTTTTCACGATTATTAATTCTCAGTCATTTCTACAGAACGCGACTGCGGATTACCAACAGAATACTTCAAGGTCAGTGGTAACTACCAGGAGGAAGCGATCAAAGCTTACATAAACCTCTATCCCATTCAAATACGTTAATGTTTGTTACTTGCACAAAATAAATCCTGCGAATCCGGAAAATGAAAATCTTCACCAAATTTATAGGGATCCCTTGGGTTAGGTGAAGAGACATGCCACAATTTGAACCGAGTGAGTTTGGCCATCTAGTCGCTGTCTCCGCTACTTAGGATTCTCCCCACTAACATGCTAGTGTCGTGCTGCCTAATAAGTGCGCCTGGCCATCCTAAAAGAATCCTTCCCAAGTTTCTTTGATAATCAGGAGTATTTGAATTATAGTACGAAATAAGGATCCCAGAAATAACTCAGTTGCAGCAGGAAGTACTAGATAAGTACTAACGAATGTACTGTTTTTGTAATTCAGAACCAACCATTCAGCAAGTACAAAGGAATCATTAATTCATACAAACATGTAGCGTGGCGTCGAGTCGAAATTGACTATGGACACCGCTACCAAGAAGCTCGTTCCAAATGACTCCATAAAATCCCCGGGAAGCCAAACATCAGAAGGCAATTAATGGACCAAGTTGAGGTTTATTTGCTGGCGATCTCGTAGCATCGAAAGGATACCGAGACCGTGCCAGGATACAAGCTTGGTTACAGAACGTAACCGAATTCGCGCCAAGTTACAATCGAAGTGTAAGTATAAGAATGGAGGCACAATATATCTGTCATTAGCACAGTCAAACAAATGCACATTAAAACAATCACCGGTACAGTTGGTTATAATAATAATTGTTTTTATTAAACCAGTCGTGTTCTAGTGATAAATGTGAACCACTACAAACACCACAGTTTCATCACTGTGCATCTTCAAACAATCAACGAAGGAAGAAGTATCAGGAAGTGAATACCCTGATAACATCACGTTTCTTTTTATTAAGGGTCAGCTCTCTCTTCAAATGTTTGCTCGTCTTATCTGAACAAAGCCTTATGGGCAGACAACCACAAACTGGCTCATGGCGCCATACTCAGCCCATTTCCTCTGCTCACAATGTTTTGCTTTAACATTTTCATTTACTAATTCTAACTGTGACCTATTTCATTCATTAAACTTAAAATTATACAAATCTTCCTATTGAAGCAATATACCGACCGTTGTAAATCAGCTATTGGTCAATGTAAACACATTGAACTAGAACAATCACACTCATATGTAAAGTTTTCCCTTAAACGAATTCTTAGGAGTCCTTTAAAAGAAAGCTTGACATATTCTTGAGGACTAAAGATAGTACCTCACCAACCTTGATCTTTTTCTTTTTCATCGATAATATTCCTAGTTTCGTGCCCGGAGATATCGGTGATTCTCTGCTACTTAATATGGAAGCCCGACAAGCTAAATCTCTTTCTATTCGATCCCAAACCATTTTAACCATTTGAGTTTGTACAAAAGAAATGTTAAGCCCTAATTCATTATCACATCCATCACGGTTAACACAGCCCAGTGGCAAGGATAATCACATTGAACGAATTTCAATACCACGAGCTCTACATCGATATCTAGAAGCTGACGAAATAAATGGTTTCGTTTTTACATGCTCGTCACAGAGGTATTAGATATTGAGCAGTTGCCACGGTGAAAGCTCCCGCGGTTTACAACTAATTCTACTACGGTTGATATTTTTGCTGAACTTCTCAATACTGTACACGTATGTTTTTTAGAAAAATTAATTTAAAGGCAGAAATTCTTTTAAATAAATCGAAATGCTTTTTGCTGTAAGTTTATGGCCATTTGATATCAGATCCCATAACTATTATCGATGCCCAGTTTTCCTATTTTGCAGAAAATTTTGTCCGTTTTGTGAAAAATTCTGAAAAACGGCACAAAATCTTCAAAATTTATCTGAGAGCTTCTGCACTTTTCCTTAGATAGGGAGATACTAGATAGCACAAAATGTTATTTGTTGTAATAAAGACCTTACTTGAAAGACACTCAGTAAGCTTCGAATAAATTATTAGTTTTCTATATTTGCTGTTGGCACCTTTTGAAATCGTTTTTAATTTTGGATTTCATTTTGCGGCTATAACTTCAAACTACATTTTCAGTTATAACTGAATATATAGTTTGTGTACATATGTAATATAGGTTATATGTTTGTTGATTATAACCCATAAACCCCGTAAGTACTTGAACACTTCATAGGTATCCCGTTTATGTCTTCAAATTGCTTTTCGTTTCAGAATTTTTTTCGAATTTCTTGAAAATGTCCTCAATTCCACGTGTGTCAAGTTAGTTGACATGAAAAAGAAAGGGATAATACTACGTTTCTTTTTGTCTGCTCACAATGACAGATGATTTAATGTCTTCACCCGAGGATGACATTTTCGTAGATAAAGGAGAACTCTTGCGAGAAGAGTAATGCTTTACTCACTTTAATGCTGTAAATCTAGATACGCTAACCTAAACAATGAGATTGAAGCAATTTCCGAAGAAATATTAGACATGTAAGTTCGGGCTTTTTGAACATTTTCGGCTGTTAGACAAAGTGAATTAATACTTACTGAACATTCTATCCAAGAACAAGAAGTTAAGAATGTAGTGTTCATTTCAGAAATTCTTATTATAGTTTTATCAAAAATAGAATGAATATAACTCGTACTTGGAGAAAAAGCAGTCGAAACGTTTGAAAAATACAATAACGTTAGAAGATTATTATTTGTTTACCGTGAATGAATTAGAGAGAGATAGAGATGAAATGTTGACTATGTTCGCTAAAAAAAAGTCTGGTGCGTCTGATGCTTTCGTTATACTGTACCGTAGAATTACAGGATGTTTTACTACAGGAGAAAAAACTGCTTAAACATGTCAAAGAAGAATTAGTATCAACAGCAGATATTCAAGTAAGCTTTCAGATCTTACCGTTGGTACTAATGGTTTTGTATGCTAATCAAATTATTTGTAGATTCTTAATAGCTGAAATATAGCTATAATTTACTCAATTATTGACAACACAAAACGTTGCACGTATATAGGTTGGCTATATTTATGACACATTACATTAACTCAAAAAAGACGGAATTAGTTGGATGAGAATCAAAACGTTTGTAGTAATATAAACATCACCCATAGAAAATATCCATTTATACATATTGAGGCTGATTTTGGACGATTAAAGTTAGGTAATGAATGATGTTGAAGTTCAAGACAATACTGGACCTATTTTTATCATTACGTTTAGTCTTAACAGCGCCATTTATAGGCTACAACTAAGTAATTTCATCATTGTGTGTCCACCTACAGACCTGACTTAGATCAACATTCAGGAAGTTTATTGGCTGATGCAGTGTATTGGGCCTGCAAACGCCTGATTCCGGACAGTTCTAGTGGAGTTGTATTCTCTGAGCCGGATGGTTTCGTCGTGGAGCTTTCATTGTTCTTCTGAACAAATCATTAGCACAAACGTCAGGTTGAAGTGATATGTTCGAATTCCTCCGCATATAACTCATAGCTTGTTCTGTCGACCTCGATGTTGATCAGATATTGTTGATCTCTAACCTATCATTGTCTACCTCATTATATTGACTGTATCTCCATTTGACTTGTTTCTTCGTCCTATATTTGTCCATGATTTTTATTATTGGTTGATAGATTGGATCAATTTCGAGGTGATTGTTTACTGCTGATTGACCTGAGTGCCAAGCTTCTAATAATCCCATAGTGTTTTGAGAATTCCTTCTGTCCAAGAAACCAACATTTTTGCAGTTGAACGTGTCTCCATAGTTGTCTACATGCATTGATATAAGCATGGGTACGTCATGACATTTGACTGCTAATTGATGTTCGTGCGGGTGAAGATGAAGGGGGCGTTCTTTTGGTTCGATGTAGTGTTTTACGTAGTTGTAACAGTTTGTTTTGTATATGATGTTCGGTTTTTCTTATCTTTCACATCGTCCTTTGCTTTGCATAGGATTGATTAAAGTGGTTTTGCTGGTTTGTGTGCTACGCCTATTCCTACTCTCATAGTTCTAGCGAACAAAGGATGTTCTATAGAGATTATGGACAAAAAAGAATATATCAGGAAAGCTGAGGGACTACTTGAATATAAAAGGGTATATGAACCATTGAACATCAATCCAATCAAAAGGTGAGATGACCAAATCTCAAGGACTTTAAACAATCTTGTCACAGTAGGAAAGATATCAATGCAAGATAAATGGAGAATGAAATCCGGCGGACCAGTTCGCCCTAGATTCTACAGTAAGCCGAAAATACACAAACCAGACATCCAACTTCGTCCAAATGTAGCACTTCAAGGAGCCCCAGCAAACAATTTGTCGAGAGAAATTTCACAAATATGGAAACATTTAGCGGATTAATCCAATCACTCTATTAAATCTCCTATACAATTCCTGGACAGGATTAAGGACACTCAAATCAACAACGGCAAACTGATGATATTTTTTTATGCAACGGTCTTGTTCACATCAATTGAACCAATCTCAGCGAAGGAAACTTTATCCCTGCTTTTCAACAACGACACAAATCTCCCAAAGTATACGAAGCTTCACTGTCAAAGTTTACTAGAACTCATTGATTTATGTTCAACAACACACTTTCAATTCAACAACAAAATCTGCAAACAAACGAAAGAAACATCGGTAGGATCAATAATATTAGGACTTATTGGATAAGTGGTGGTGCAGAGACTGGAAGTTTCGATCTTACCAGTGATCAAGCCAAAAATATGGATTCATTATGTGGACGACACATTAGCCATCGTCAAGGAGAACGAGCTGGAAAACACTTTTAATCTGATCAACAGCATTTTCGATGACGTAAGGTTCACGTTAGAACAGGCGTCAAACAATAAACTATCATTCTTAGATGTATTAATCACTAGAACCGATACAGGAAAACTGGAGATTTAAATATATCGGAAGCCAACTTACATGTCGGATAAGATACCTGGAAGCGAAATAAATTTTAGATTTGTTCTTAATCGTTCGAAATGGAACTTTGTTTTACCACAGTCACGGATTTCTAATTTTGTTTGATTTCGTTAACTTGAAGAAAGTCTCAAACTTTATGAATTGCGGTCTGATAACTAGGCAATGATGTCTGTTCATATTTAGTTAATGTAGTTACTCCTAATTATCCCTAGCATCCTGGTATAAAATCCAATATGTTTTATCCGTTTTGAAAACTATGTTCTTATAACCGCAAATTGCGTAAGAACAATAAGATGCATACACATCCAGCTGGGTCTCAAAATTTACAAAACGTGCATTCTGGTTTTCTTAGGTGTTTATTAATGTGAATATAACTTATTCAGAGAAATAGTTTATAAAGACATTTTGTTCAAGTTTAGTTTAATTTTGTTTCTGATTAGTTAATTCGTCAAAAACAAGAAGCAGAAATTGAACGTTTAGAAAAAGAAATAAGAGCTACCCGCAATTACCAATCAGAAAAACTTCAACAGTTTAAAGAGACATCTAAACAAAAACATTTGGAGTTGGAAAAAGAAGCTAAGACTATCTTGGATAATGTGACTGAAAAAAGTAAAAAGGTATATATCTACCTGCTGTTCATCTTCCGATAACTTTTTGATGAACTGACATAAACTAGTCGATGTATTTGTTGCCTTTTCTTAATTTTAGAGAACATTTCTAGATCTTTGGTGGCCTTTAGTGGAGTCGTTCTAGTCACTAGGTCGCAGTATTTCTGATGTTTTCGAGAAACATATAAAGGTTGATTTATTTTGATGACGGGTAGCTGAGCTTATTCTTAGTCATTAAGATGACTGGAACATTTAGCGATCTTATCGCTAAATATAATAAGTATTTTAAAGAGTTCCAAGTTATAGTGTGCAAAGTGAGATCGCATCTGTTCATCCCTTCTTCGGTGATCAGTTACACTTACTGATAACGCTTCGAATATAAGATAATTTTAAGATACCTATATTTTCGTTCGCATTACAAAATATGTTGATAGTCTAATTGGTCTTTGTAACGGTTATTAGTGTCAATCTCCCTCCGATTGTTAAGGTTTTTGATTAGTTCCCATTTCTATAAGTTTTTGTTGCGCAACATGTGTTGGTGACATGGCTCAGAATCGATCACAATGGCGTCGGTGTATACACTCGGTTTCTTCCCTTAAACTAAGAGATTAAAAGCGCTTCATATCTTTCTTTCTACTAACCAATTCTTTCTTCTTGTACTATATCTCTATATGCAATCTTTCTCTTATATATTACCACCTTTTACCTAACCACTGTTATGAATCCGGTGTTCATCTTGTTGTGCTGATGCGGTATGGCAACCTGGACCGATGCACATAAGTGCATGGTTCTACGTTGTAGCTGACTGACTGACTGACTGTTGGATAAGGCATTGTGTAGCAATTATATTCTGCCTTACATCTATGGTTTCTGATATACTTGGTCATCATTACCCAAGCAGAAAAACATGGTGAATTTTTAACTATAATGGATGGTTTTTGCTAAATTTAATAAAACTGGCAACATTTCAGGTATCTATTCACACCCACATTTACAAGTGAATCTATAGGTTCCCCATAGACTTTACTAATAACCTTCATTTTCTAAAGAACATGGGATAATGTTTTCTTAAGAGTTCGGAAAAGAATGGACGGTAACAATATGGGGAAATAGGTGGTATGAAGGATTTTAAAGTTTCTAAAACCCGTAATTTCATCATTTAATAAGCTAATATGTCATATTTTTTAAAACAAAGTAGTATTTACAAAGAATTTAACTTCAATGTAACGTAATTTCTAGGAAAATCGAAACGTCTTTATATTATCTTGAATAATATTACGAGTTTTTCCCCAGTCAAACCACCCCTGTTGTTCTTTTTAAAAATTTTTCCACTTCTCTCTACTTTGAATAATATCAACTGTCGTGTCTTCAATTTTTGAGCAGTTGCCTCCTGTTATGACAACGGATATCACTCACATATATGAAGCACACTTCAGCCGAAGTTGTTACAGCATTTCAACAACGAAAGAAGCGATTAATAGTATAAGCTAGTAGAAGTGAAAAATCACTGTTTACGTCACCTTTTTCGTTGTCATTGTTAGTTAGGCATTTATACTTTGATAAGTCTTACTAACTTGGTTGAATACATTGTAAGAAAATAGCGACTTTAATTAAAATACCCGTTGAAACATCCAATTTGTTTTTTAGACTTATCAACAAAGGAGTAGTTGCAGAATCCACCACAAACATAAGCTATTGTAAACGCCTTTTATCAAAAATATTTCCCCAAATGTTACGGAAGCATGAAAGATACTACAGATTGTTTAAATGTAATTATGCCATGAACTTATTTGTCAGATACTTCTCGCTTCACTTAAAAGTACATTCTGAAAGTGTATATTACAGTTTTAATCATTATATACTGTTTGTCCAGTGAATGTCGATCATGTTTTTCGGAGTTCTCCGTTTCTCTTCACAAGGCATTAAATAAACTCATTACTGTATTCCTGGTTCTTTTTTAGTTGTAAGTTATCAACCATCCACATTCAACCGAATAAAAATAATTATAAAATTCATGAATCTTTCTGTGAACCTACTGTCATGCCACCTCACTACAGTTTGATTAATATGACAAGATCAAAAGAGCTTCATTAAGTCAATGTAGAAGTCGATCGGCATGATATTTTAAGTGTGTCCACTTAGTAGACTATTGATTGATGCTAAATATTACTCATTCAAAGTATAAAACTCTGATTGGTAACCTGACTCTACAACGGCATATGAAGTGTAGTGTATGCACATTTTATTTTGATTTATTTTTGAAGGCAAATAAATCTTCATCACCATTCTGCAGTTTTCACCATGTATTGTTGGATTTGGGGTCTCAGTATAAGGCATAACCCATTTAATCATGTCCGCTAACACAGAAGTGTCAGAGATGACAGTGGCGACGAGTATGGGATACGAATCCGGCCAGGGAAACCTCGATGGGTCAGTTGAGCACCCGGAAGATATGATAGTAATAGACGTAACCACTGACCAATACCTATTGTTATCAAAGGACATCACATTTGAATTTCCACCATATTGGTCCTACTGATTATGGTTTCATGTTCTAACTTATGTTGGAGGATTCTAAAGCAGTTTGCTCATGGATGATGAATTATTATTTGATCTGGAATTTAGTTAACTTTTTCCAATTGAATTGCTTTCTAGTTATCCTGTTTGATCTCTTTTTATTACAACAGATTTCAAACAAACTGATCGTTGAACATGTTAATAAGATATGTAAAGAAAATGAAGAATTGTATAAGGATATCCTAAATAAATCAGAATTAATAAAAGCTATGGAAGCAGAAAAATCAAACTTGGAGAAAAAAAATGAAGAGGTCAGACATAATCAGGTGTTTTCCAAGGTGAGGCTATGTTTTAGGTATATCTTACACAACTACTATTCAATAAGAAATGTAGTCCAAAATCTCTTGTGATGATGAACTGATCTGACTAAGAAACCATAACAATTTGACATGTCTTTTCAGCATTTTTACTACTATACAAATTCGACGAAACTAGAGGTACTGAAGATCAGCAGAAAGGGAATATAGTTATATACAGTAAAAAATTGAGGGTTCGCAGGTTTTAGTGAAAGATGACAGTGAGTAGATAGGATTACGTCATAGAAATCTTTCTAATGTTTTTTTTCGAGTTCCCATGGATCAGCATTTACTAACCTAGCTAGACTGTCATTGGTTACATACGTAAGGCTGAATATCAGTATACTAATAAACTTCATGAATACATTCACCTACCGAAACTGGTACTTTTCGCAAACCTTTTTTCATTTGGGGTGATAGGTAGTCTAGGTAGTTTGTCACTTGATCGAGCTTAGTTACCTGAATATCGACTTTTACCTTCTTCCTAAAGGACCGAAAAAATAGACTGTTTAAACACTTCACGCTATTTTTCTGTTAATCGAATCATTTGTGGTGACGTGATGCAATAGAAAATGCAGCTATATGTATAACTTATCAGGGATTTTGGCTTAAATTGTTCATAATCTCTCATTTTGCTTTACTTTTAGGACCTGGAGTATGTTGAATATAAACGTCGCGAAGGCTTGTCACAACTGAAAAGTTTATCAACACAGAAATAAAACAGCATTAAGTTGCCATATATTATCAAAAGCAAACGGACTTTTTAAAAACTGTTGTTTCCATCATTCTATTTTTATGTAATTAGTTTTCTTTACGGATTTGAGTAGAGCCAGAGTAACATTAAAATCAGAATACTATGAATTCATTATATTCGTGGTTTCTCATTAGCTGCTTATATCTGTTGATGTGTATTAAAGGGTAACATTAAGGCGTGATATAATATGTAGCAATCGATATTGATCACGTGAGAAGTTAGAGTAACAAAGATTATCAATAATATATATATAATTAAATGTAGTCCGGAGGTAGAATAGGATGGATCGTATAATAGCTACAGTTGTAGAGAGTCAAGTTTCATAGGTTTAGCGTTTGCGCGCAAGAACTAAGGTCCGGGGTTCGATTTCTACCTTGGGAGTCGTGGATGCGCACTCATAAGGAGATCTATACAAGGACAAAACGACCATCTAGTGCTTTCAGGTTTTTATTAGTGGTCTAACTTGAAAATGCCTATAGACAATCTAGAACAGTGCAGTGCAGTTTACGTAATGCTTATACAAGATTTGATGAGTTTTTCGAAGTTTAGAGGATCAAGCGGATGAAAAAACACCCATGAATGAAAGAATAATTTTGGCATTCATAAATTAAAAATACGTTTGACGAAGTCTGTATACATAACAAGATAACAATGTTTTCAGTACAATATGCATACCAAGTAGAGTGATACTATTTTAGTAGTATAGAATCGTAACAGCTGGATCTTGAACCTTCATTTCACTTGAAGTTTATTTCCCTATATATTTCCAATTTTGGTCACCTATAACTTGGTCAAGCATTCGAATAGACAAAACGACTAGCATTAGGTAGCACCAAAAAATTAACCCAACAGTGACGTTGAATGATTGAATTTTGAAATGAGTACATAATTAAAAAATGCAGGATAAAATTACTTTGAAAAATTAGATTATTGTTTACCGGTGTTTTATAATATACGAAAGATCAGTTTTGCACATCAGTTGTTGTGTTGTAATGACCATTTTGTACGATGGTGGGTATGTATAAATATCACACAGATAATCGAGATGGAAACAATACAGACCAACTAAGCAAATTTTTTATTTTTCATTTCTAACATTTTACATATCAACAGATTTCAATTATCATCTCAACATTTATAATTTAGTAATACAATTGCTAAGGAAATCATAGATTGAATGTTGATATACATCTGGAAAATAATACAGATTCGTTTGTGATATTGTGAAAACCACTCATTGGTTTAGATGTAACTTCTTCATTTAGTTTATTACTTCTGATGTACAACTAATTAGATCTGGAATTTATGAACGTGATTGTTGGTAAATAAAAAAATACTAAGAAAAATTTAGGTCTTGTAATCTTCCGGTTGTTATCTCTATTGATTTCCTGTCTAGATATCTGATATTTTCAAAATAAAACAATAACTAGTAAAATTAGCTTTATACAACACAAATACAAACTGTATATAACGTTTAAATATTATTTTATTGAAATCCAATCTAGAACTAAGTTGTAAATTGAATGGTTTGACAGATTGAATAACAACATTTATCTACTATGCAACCAACGAACTATAACCTAATCTGTTTCAGACTATTTTGATTATTTAACTAACATAATGAAAAAACAAAATGAATTATTATCATTTAGTAATACCATTAAAATGTAAGAATAACTGAATAGTTGCTCTACACTAATTTGAGTCAGATTATAAGTACATATTGGCATCTATATACAAAACTAAATATGGGATCTATCATCTACTGATGAGCATTTAAAGGTAAAAGCTAAAACCAAAACAAATGTGAAGGTAAGAAATACTGTTTCTTCTGATAATTGGTCTCAAATTTAAATTTTATCACAATTTGTTTTGATAAAATACTAAAATTATCCATTAGCTTCCTAAAACGATTGATTGACAAGTCTCAACGAGACAGACTTTAAATGAAAAGAAATCATTTACTGGCCGATTAAATTAGGGAGTTAAAGTGTTCATTTGTATACAAAATAAGTAATAAATATTACATGGTTTGTTATATCATTGATGAAATAAAGATTGAATACAATATAAGCCAATCAATAACCATGTTCGTTTGTCCATCATATCATTCATTTTACTGAATGCTTGATATAAATCGGTCTAAAGTTTTAAATTTGGAATTCTTACTGGTTTTTATTATTCAGTGAGATGTTTATGTTACCTTCGAAAGATTGATACATAAAAATCAGTCTATTCAAAACCTTATCAAAGAATTAAATGCACTAGTAGGTCACCAATCACAAGGTAGCTTGCTTGAACGTTTGTGCCACTTGTGTAGGCATTAAAATTAACCATCCTGTTTTAGATTTGCTTGTACTGTTTGATTAGAATCAATTTGATTCATATATGTTTTACAAGCTAATACTATGGTTATTACTGGAAAACCTTACCAGAAACATTACACTTGTTGACATGTTTCCCATATAAACAGCAAAAACCAAGAATCAGATATATCAGTATCTATGTATTTTGTATATGCTTAACAGGGAAAATAGTTGTAGCAGATGAACAAGTTGAAAATTTTCTTGAATAATAACGGTTTTCAGATATATTGGTTATTAAGAATATATTTATAAAATATCTCTGGAAATCTTATACTGTAACAAAAATTTACAGTATTGAATAAAGCTACTATTATTATCATTAGTTCGTTATTCGATAGTCTAGTTTTCAAAACTAACTGAAACATGCTAAAAGGTAACAAACTTGTTTTGTTTTGTTTTTCGAAAAAACTCAATACTAAAACAAAATGTATTACACTGTCAAATCATTCAATTTAATAATCATACTGTGCCATTTTGATTGATAGAATTCAATTCATGTTAAGAAGTAGAAAAAAAAAGAAGATAAATCAGCTGACAACAAATAAATCTAAATGTTCCTAACAAACTTACATTTTCATGTTAGTTCGAATTAAGACAAACATTTTAAATGTTTTATTTAAGAATAACAAAATATTATCACTGGATCATTATTACAATTTTATTAGAAATTTTACATGATGATGATAATGTATATAAATCCAGTAAATAAAATGAACTAAATACAGTCACAAAAACACATTTTCTGATAGTCACTAGGTAATTTCATGGTTTTATATAGAACCTCCAAATAAATATTCATACACAATATATATTACAATTGATTGATCACTGGGTGGTGATCAATATCTTGCTTGTTTAGTCCTTATTAGTGCAGATCGAATGTTATCGATCATGTTGCAGTGTGGCCACCAGTCTAGGTGACTCGACACTGTTGACTGCCTCCAACCACCATCTAAATCTCTATACACTATATATGTTTTACTGTTAACAGAAATTCATGTACAGTTATGAATATCATTGTAATCATGATTTATTAGTTCAGATTATACTGAGAATAAATTAATGTCATAGGTAATTTGTATGCAATAAAGAAAAAAAAAACGATAAATTTTCAAATAATATCCTTGTTTGTTTACCCTTGATAATTCGATTTTTCTCTTTCCTATCCCTGATTTTCACCTCTGTATAAACGATAGAAAAAAGATACTAAGAAATGATGTACATTTAAGCTAAGAAAAGTATGAAATACTTAGACTAAAATGATCTCTAAAATGTTTCTTGGTTTACTTTAGTTTTTTCCATTGAGGTAAGTATGTGATGAAAAGTAATATTTTGATTTCAGAAGGTTTCTTTAGATATCAGATGAAGAAATATTTTCAAGTTTGAACTTTGAAATTTCCGTTTACTTCCAAAAGAAAACATTTTGTGGGAGGCTGGTATAAATAAAAGAGCTACCAAAGGCCAGGAAACATTAGACAGTCAACTGATCCTACTAGATGACCTCTTAGAATTACAATAGACCAAGAAGAAAAAACGCAGTAAAATAACATAGATTATTCTTATTTCTTGGTTGCTCATCATTTTCTTACAACCTAAACACAATAGTATTAATCCTATAAATGATTGTTTATTTATACAATAAGCAATAAGCAGATTCTAAAAGAAAATTTCAAAAAAGACATAGAAACAGATTAATGAAAAAATTCAGAATATAAATTACTTAAGAACAACTAAAAATAGGACTGGCTATAGGATTAAAATATATGGAGCTTGAATAAAACTCGAATTAGAAAGAAAGTGAAGTTTTGATGACAAACATGAATTGGTAGACAATCAAACGTTGGAAACCAGGAAAACTAGGGCAGTATAATAATTATAACAGTATCCTTTAGAATGCGTAAATACGATTTATGTTTTTAAAGAGTAATTTCTACGGTAAAACATATTAAGTTAGAGGTTACCTGTTTTAAATAGTTTTAAATAGTCATGAAATCACAACGTTATTTCCACTATCAAGTAAATGACGGGCGTTCAGACTACTAAAGAATTTTCGGTTACTTAATCTCATCCAAGGATCGTCCTCGAATAATGGAACGTTAAATATGTGTTCTTCTCCTCCAAAGTAAGCACATCGACACGTGCATACAAATCGATTTACATGATTAAAGATAACGTATGACTAGTATTTGTTTACTGTTGAATGTCGTAACGAACAACCTTTTGTATATCGAGGTGAGTTCTACAGATGGATAAGTCTTTTTTAATAGACTTATTAGTTTAGAATCAGTCTAACAAGATATTTTGTCGCTTTTGAATCTGAGTAATTTGAAAGCAATACTTTTTTCCTGTCGTAGTACACTTCACTAGCTTCGTTCTTGCCCTCTCACACTTGCTGATAAACTTTCGTGCATAACGTTTATCTATCAAACAACTATCAATAACGTTTAATTCCTCTTCCATCTTGTCCTCTGAGCATAATTCTCGGACTCTATTGGATTACGTTATGAACAAAGCTCATTTGTAGCTTATCGGACAAAAGCTACTCAAAGTCAAATAAAAAAAATAAATCTTGTTGTTGTGTTCCTCCTCGATTGTATGCGATTGCAAAAATTAAGCAATATATGAAACATGTTTTTTATCATCACATACACACACACACTAATGACACAGCTTGTTGATCCTGGTTACTTACCCATCACCTAAATTAGACTGAACTCACAATTTTTCGACAAATGTAAAGTCACTATA